ATTAACAAAATTCCTTACATACTTATCATGTGACAATGAGTTATTGTTTTGTTTGTTACATTTTGCGATTAAATTACAGATTAAAATGAAACTTGCTAAAATATATTGAATTTTATTTTATACCTCGAAGGCGGCAAACAAGCATATAGTCCGCCTGATGGTAAACGATCCCTGTAACCCATGGGCATCTGCAACATTACAGACGTCACGTGCGAGTTGCCAACCCTGAAGAAACCTTAATAAATCCTTTTTGAAGAACCCCATACTTTAGAGCATGCGGCTCACCTGATGATAAGTGATCACCGCCGCCCATAAGCACTATTGTCTGTAGAAAATTATTATTTCAACAGAGTTTTCCGTTTGTGAAATTGCGTTATATTCCGCTATCCGCGAATAATGCAACTCCATAATCCGTTTGGGTGGTTCGGCTTTATTCGTGAATCTTCGATTGAGATCGTGAAATGTGAAGTTGTTGCATCGTGAAATTTGGTGTTCCGCCCTCCTGCTCCGGTATGCTTAATTAGCTTGTAATGAAAGCTTACAAGGAAATGTACTACATACGCTTTTGTAACGAAGAATGGTGAAATATTTGAATCTTTATTAATTATAAATGTAAAAATATATTTATTTGCTTGTTATCTATTTATGCCGTAACTGCTCAACTAATAAACATTAATTTTGGTATATACCTAGTATTGGGGTTGAGAAGACCATACGCTACTTTTTATTTTTTTCTAACGAAGTCATGGATACTACAGATTTATATCATCATCAGCTATTATTCGTCCATTGCTGGACATAAGCCTCCCAGACGGGTTTATATATTCAGGAAGAATTATATATATATATATATATATATATATATATATATATATATATATATATATATATATATATATATATTTTTTTTTTTTTTTTAATTTAATTATTATACATAAATACATTAAAAAAATAGGATTTTTAGTACCACTTAAACCTCTAGGGCTTGTGTGTGATATATATATATATATATATATATATATATATATATATATATATATATATATATATATATATATATATATATAAATCTCGTGTCACGAGAATACATAACATATTAACATACATATCTGTCACGCCTGTCTCCTATTAGGGTAAGCAGAAACAATGGAACGCCAAATGCTTCGATTCAAACAAACCTCTTTCGCCTGAATTAATACCTAATTTATATGGCAAACTAACGTTTGCCGTGTTAGCTAGTAAATAGTAAATGTACATAATTTACATCTTATAGTCTGAGTCAGTGGTCCTTTGATAGTTCGTCTTTGAATGTGTAATTTCAATTTTTAATTTTACATAACTGCCTTCCTATAATGTTTGTACTACTATAATGGTACTCTAAGATTAATTTAATTAATTGTAAATATTAGCGATGTCATGTGCATTAACTAGTTAAAGTTTGTTTTTATTTGTGAAAACCTGTAAATGGCTTTTTGACTTTACTGATTTTTTTTATATATAAATAAATACGTCGTGGTTTTATATATTGTTATTAACAATAAATTATTTTTAACCGACTTCAAAAAGAAGAAGATTCTAAATTTGGTTGTATTTTTTAATTAAGTTTATTACATCCGTCAGTTCTGAACCAATTTGAATCTTTTTTTTTTATCTGAAAGGATATATTTACAGATTGATCTTATAGTAATTTTAACAAAATCCGTTTACTAGTTTAGTTTTTAAATAAAATTTACTGGTTTTATCACAATTGAAGTCGGTTTTGAGGAATCACAATATTTAATTATATTATTTTTAAAATGCTAAAGTATGACTGTTGGTGAGGATTGTTAGAGACGCATTTTTTTTTTTATTAACCCGCCTGCCAAGCGTGGCAACTACTGGCAAAAATGATTACTGACTATATATATTAGCTATTACAAGCAAAATAACAAAGTCTTATCTTAGTATTTATTAAATAGACATGGGGTTACGTTTAACTTTACTTGCCTAGCATCGTTTATTTTTTTAGCGTTTAGTTTCGGTTAATTTTATTGTTATTTTAAAGAGTTAAGTTTCTAAATAAATTAATTAATTACGCTAAATAAATTACACTAATCAATTAATTTATTTAAATAAAATTATTTAAATAAATTAATTGAGGCGATAATTTATGTGTCATGTCTTATAAACCATAAACCATACAACGCGAAAGTGTTAAAGTGAATATTGTTTTTTTTTTAATACCACCCTTTTTTCACCCATCAAAAAAAAAAAAAAAAAAACATTAGGTACGTAGATGCTTCTGTTTGGTAGTTTAGTGCTCTTTAGAGTTTGGAACACTGATTTAACTAAGCTATTTGATACAGCTGATAGAATAGCAAGGTACGTGGAGTATAGACTTAAGAAGTTTTAGCAAGCCTTTTTTTTATAAATGCCTAACAGTTGGGGAGCACGCGTCTGTAAAACGCTTGTATTAACTACTGACAGGATCAAAGCGACGTATTTTTTTCTTTATTCAAACATGTGTAAATAACGCGGAAGTTGTAACTTTACACATGTATTTAACATATAGTATAGATTTTTTTTATATCAATTAATAATTTAACATGAAAACTTAAACATGACTTTATGAATGAGTTCAACAGATATTATATATTTTTTTTTCTTATAAATACATCTCAAAAATTTATAAATTGCAGTTTTGTAAAAAATATTATGACAGACATGGAATAGATGTCGTTTAATGATTTATATTTAAAGGACAACCGTGGGTTTTTTTTTAATGGGTAATAATGGTATGGTAACCCCGTCTGCTCTATTGGTATACACTGGCGGGGCACCAGTGAGGGATGACAGATGAAGATGAAAGAAGATCAGTTAGCCCATCCTGACGAATTAAACTAGAATTAATCACGATGGTTTCCAGGGGGAACCACGTGGAGGTCGACCTGATAGGGTATATTGCTAGTAATAGGGCTATTTGACCCCATTACTAACAATCCCTTTCCCCCGATAACCGTGGGGTGTACAGAGAATTTATACAACATAGGATAAGTATATGAAGAGGCAACTATGGGAATGAAGCACAACATTTTACTTGCCCATAACATGCTATATATAGCTGAAACTTTCATAATACTTTTCTGTACATAACCTTTATTGATTTGTTATTGTGATTATTATAAATAACTGATACTTTCCCACAGTCAAATATTTTACTAAATTCGCAAGTTATGTTTAGTATTTTTTTTTTCTAATATAATTTTAGTGACTGTTTATCCCTGTATATTTAACATATAACGCGTAGATTATAAGATATTGTTATGGTATGAAATAACCCTCATTTTGTGCTCTTTCTTGTCTAACTTAACCTTTAGACAAATACTGATACCATATCAGCCGTTAACTCTCTACTGCTGAACAGTGACTCCAGTTTTTCAAATTTCAATTTCCAATTGAGGGGTTAGCCAATAATTGCCACGCTTAGTAGGCAGGTTTTTTTTTTTAATGGGTGATAATGGAATGGCAACCCCACCCGCGCTATCGGTATACAAAAGCGGGGTACCAGTGAAGGATGATAGGTGAGGATGAAGCAGGTCAGTTAGCCCATCGTGATGAATTCAACAAGAATTGTTCACGATGGTTTCCAGGGGAAACCACGTGGAGGTCAACCTATTAGAGCATATTGCTAGTAACGGGGCTGTCAAACTCAATTGTTAACAATCCCTTTCCCCCTAGTAGGCAGGTTTATTTTTTTATGGGTGAAAATGGTATGGTAACCCCGCCTGCGCTAACGGGATACGCTGGCGGAGCACCAGAAGGGTGATAGATAAGAATGAAAACAGGCTAGTTAGCCCATCATGATGAACTCATCAGGAAATAACCATGATAGTTTCCAGGGGAAACCGCGAGGAGGTCGACCTGGTTGGGTATATTGCTAGCAATGGGATTCTCAGTTTCCATTACTAACAATCCCTTTCCCCCTCTAGTAGACAGGTTAGCTTTGGTGACGTTTTAAGAGGGACGCTGCCCTCGACCATTAAGTTCCCTTATTCGCCTCTTACGACACCTACGGGTAAGGAAGAGGTGACCTATGCTGTGTCAGGACCACACGGCAAATAATACTACAGAAGTAGTATATTATAATTGACTTTGGTGGTCAATTTTTGTATTTTTACAGGATGTAAAATTTTTGTTAGCTCGTTAATTAGTTAGGATATTAAATTAGTTATTGGGATTTTATGAACATGATACAGTTTGAATATATAAACCAATAACATCCCACTGTTGGGAATGGTTAAACATTGACTGGAAGTATATTTAATTCTAATTTATTCAGCAAGAAATATTTTAGACGTAATTTAAATTAATAACCTGTTCAGATAAATGTATTCATTAAAATTATTTCTTTCACGTTTAATTATATTTATATATGTATTGTTTGATAAATATACATTAAGAATAACATGTTTATAACAATTTTAACTTCCGTTGCACCTGCAAACGCTTTAAAAGTAAATGTAGCTTACCCACTATGAATACAAATTTTGCCGCTCAATAAAAAAGCATACGACTGTCATGTAACGTACATAAATTCTAGAAATTCCCGGGAAAGACTCAAAACGTGATCGTACTGCAACACGGACCGGCGGGCTCCCCGTCGTCGCAGGGATTTCTTTGTTTTTAAACATACAAAAAGTCAGCCCCATCTCATTCTAAACGCAGCAGGTACAAAGTATGCACGATGGACCACATGTTGAATACTTTTGCTAAAAGGAAAACTTGTCACTTCGGTCGAAAAGAGAAACACAAAAATCCGACGGAATGTAGATGGATATTTAATCCGAAAACGTTACAGTGAATTCCTGAAAATTTACTTTTCTAAAATGTCTAAAATGAGGTTTTTTTATTAGTGATTTATTTAGTCGTTACATTTTCTAATTATTTTAAATGTATTTTAATTTTAAACCTTAACGTGGTAAGATTAATGGAAATATTTTATAAATTACTTTAAAACTTACTTAGGTCACTATCTCGATTTGTCAGGTCATCTTGTGTCAAACTATATCGAAGCGGTAGCAATCCATTCGCATAATAATAAATACAGCACAGAACACATGCTCACTTGTCAATTTTACGTCAAACAAACTTTTTATGCACATGAAAAAAAAATCTTAATCAATTATTCAGTCACCACACTTGCACACAAAACGTCAACAGTCACCAGGTTACTTAAAAAAAATATATGCGAGAGTTTATTAAAAATAACAAAGGTTAGAGAACTGAAACGACGTGCGTCGCGGGCACGGTACCAACGGATATAGCAATAGCGGCTAGCGGGAGGACTCGATCCAAACGCGCCGTTGGCGATTTCATCTCAATCTCGCCCGTCAGAACGAGACAGTAACATGACAATAAACGACTGTAAAATGTCAGGAGCGAAAGAGACGGCAGTTTTCTCATTATGCGCGCGTCGAAACTGACATTTCAATCTCACCGTCCCGCTCGCACAGAAAGTTATTTCCTTACAAATAATATGCGGGCGTATTTGTTCTCTGTCTCGTTCTAGCCTGGATAGTGCTAACCAGATAATGTCTTAATCGCATTTTCTTAGCGCTATGCTGACTGATGCACTAACATAAACAATGATAATTAATGGATTTGCATGCATGATAATTTTTTTATGGAATCAACTATGACGAAGTTAATATGGAATTTGTTGGGGGTCAAAGCTTATTTAAATGAGCAATAAGCAAATTAATAAAAGGAAGATAAAGTGAGGCGTTGTGCTAGAAATAGTCCTAATTGAATATAGTGATGAGAATCTAAACGAAGAGTTAACTGTTAATGAGTTATATGATATGATAAGTACACTGCATCACTGTAACTGAAAGAAAGTTTTTTTATACAACTAAGAATAGCAAATAAGCCGATGGGCCATCTGATGGAAAGTGGTAACCATCGCCTATAGACATGGCAGTGCCATGGACATAACAGAGTATACTGTTTCGCCCGTGATATCCCCCATGCGTTGCCATTCCTGAGGTAATTTATAATAGTACATATACAAGAAGAAAGAATACAGTTTATTGCACCAATATTATATACATTATTGATAGATTTTAAAGTATAGGTATTTAATATAGTACAAGAGGCGGTCTTATTGTTAAGCAATCTCTTTCAAAGAACTTCTTGGTAAAACGAATTAAAGAATGAATGAGAATTATCACATTTTTAACAATGAACAGCAATTGCTTATCGCATATTAATAAATTGCCTGCAAGAAAAAATATAGTAACCAGTCTATTATTTAAAATTAAACAATTAAGATAACAGATATGAGATTTTAAGACTTGTTTAAATACTTAGTTGTAATTCTTGTAATATAACAAAAAACTAGAAATAATATATTTAATAACGACATAAAGTGCAAATCTAAACTAGGGCTGGATAGGATAGGATCAGAACGAGATCCAATATGTAAATTTCTAAAATAAACTAAATTAGAACCAAACCCGAAAATATTCCTAACTACTGCATTCCAAATTTTGCAAAAGCAGAGTTAAGTAATGTCGCAACAGTTAGCAAAGCAAAGTTAACATTTTTGATATATTTTAAGATATTAAATTACAAGTAGATTTCATTCCTAAAATCGCTGCAAGAGTAATTAATCCTAGCAATGTTTCTTTCTTACTTGTAAATCTATAAACGCTCAAGGGCAAAATTACTTTAAATAATCTTGAGGATTAGGATTAGTAACATTTGATGGGACGTATGTTGTAAAATAATTCAATAATATAGAATATACTATTTATCTTGACTTGAGATAGGTGCAAACAGATCGAAATACAGATCGATATGAGAATCAATTTCCTTTAAAAAGCATTCAGGAAACTTGAAAACAGTATATTCCTTTATCCTCATAATACCAAAGATGCAAAGATAGGAAATTGACGCTGAGATTATGAGTTGAAAGTCATCCAGCAAATCTTGAAAAAGACTGTTCTCAAAATTCTTCGAAGGATTAGATACTAAATAAGGCAATGCGCTAAAGAATTAGACTTATAGATATAGCCGACAAAGTCAGCAAACTGGTGAAAATAGATTGGTTACATCTGTCGCAGAATCGATGCGATGATCGTTTATGTAAATGTGCTCTCTAGTAAAGACCACATTTGGGCAAACGTAGTGTAGCGTGCCCCCCAGCTAGATGGCGCGAAGATATGCGCAAATTGCTGAGAATAATTGGATTGTTAAAGTGAAGAACGGTGCCATGTGGCGCATCTTAAGAGAAACGTACCTCCAACAGGGAACTACAAAGTATTAAATTACTGCTCGCAAACACAGTACATAATCTATTTCAAATACTATGTTAAGTAGAATGTCATGTTAAGTAGTAATTAACTTAACTTATACTAAACTTGCTCCACTTAACCATTTTAAGTTCTTGAAACGGTCGATTAACAGAATGCATTTAACATTTCAACCAACTCGTATATGGACTGGAATAAATTTAATGTCGCATACAATGTTTAAATGGAAGGACCTGATAATTATCTATTTGTGAAGTGATGTGTAAATACTCACGACTGCATGTTTGAGGTACTGACTACTGCGCAAATGTTTGCTCAACGTTGACAGGGCGCTGACGGCTCAAGCAAGACAATTTTTCTGGGAATCCACACAAAAATTCCTTAGGCATACAGAAGCTGGACTATTTCTCGTAATAGGTTCGTGTTGAAACTGGATTGAATTCGAAAACGGAGGCTTTCCATTTGTTTGTTTATTTGTAAGATCGTGAACTATTGTTCGAACAAATCTCTGTCTAAACTCTAAGTAGATACCAACTAAATGCTCGACTGTTGTTATCTCGCGGATATAGTTAACTTTGAATACAAAATACATAATGAAAACATAATTGTGGTTTAAGTGAACAAAGCTACTATATAATATGCAACATAATCCTGTAACTTGTATTGCTACTAAGGTTGTTAATAGGATATCTCCAAGAGAAAAAAAGCTCAATTCTACATACTATCGCTTACAAAAGAATGTCGCTGTCAACGAAGTGCGTGAAATCGCGTCACCCGCAAAAGGTACAGAATGAATCATGCATTAGGTTACTTCAAGAGTCTTCGAAAACTAACGTAGAGAGCAGTGCATGTCTTAATGCACTTCCAACAAAAAGAGAAAACACACATCTCGTATCGATAGAACGTGACAGTAACATCTTCACGAAAACATGTTAAACAACCTAACTTATTAATCCAATCATGTGATTTCCATCGTTAACTTACAAGTGAGTAAAGTCCATTTTACTATAAAATACGACTGTGAAGGATTTCAGAATCGAACCCGTTTTCGGTACAAATGAAATGCACCAAGAAAAGGGACGGGGCTACAAAAAGCAATCGCGGTAAAGCAACTAAACTCGAAAGCTCAAAGGACTTGTGCTGTATTTTGTTTTGTCTGAGCGAGATAACTTGATCACGCTCACAATTCACCAAACATCACAATAACCGAGTTGTGAACATATAAATAAATCTATTCACAAAGGAATATGTATTAAACTTGCATTCGAAGAAAAATCTTACGCCCTTTCGTACCGGTCAAGATGTAAAAAGAACAATTTACAAGTTCGTCTGGCGCAAAGTGAGACAGAGCATATATTTTAGTACGTTAAAAAAGGACGTCGTATGAGCGGACCGGAGTTGGAGGCTGTGTATTTTTTCTGAGTTATTATGCCGGTTTCGATCTTTAATTAAGACATTTTGTGCATTTATAATGAAATAACAACATGAGTCAACGTTACCGACACCTCGAAATGCTCGCCGTGAAGTATTTGACCTAAGAGGTAGAATGAGTTATCTATACTTAAGTGGTTTTATTTTTGAGAATAATTTTATGAGTTCGCTCGCAACGAGACAGCTCCAAAAAATAATGCGGTATTTTTTTTAATTATAATCGTTCCAATGTAACCTTATAAAGATTTAATGAATTGAGTTCAATGTAATTGTTTATTTTAAAATTACTCTGGTTCTTTAACAGTGGTTCTGTACTTGGATAGACAACGTAGCCTTACTGTACATACACTTCAACACTTGGAAATATCTATGGTTAATCTGGCACTATTGAAGGGACTATAGTGCCTCCCATGTCCCGACCGAATCAAAGGCTTTCTCATAGTCCACAAACGCTAGACATAGTAGTAGATTATACTCTTCGGTCTTTTGTATAATTTGTACGTACCGTTGTATGTACGGTGCTAAAGCCCTTTCGGAAGCCAGCTTGTTCGGGTGGCTGGAAGTTGTCGAGTTGTTAAGTAAGACAAAGATGTATTTACATAAAATATTGACAAAGAACGTGCAAATACAAAAGGCAGCCTTATTGCTGAAAGACATCTCTTACAGAAAACCCGATTAATTCTTTATTTAAAACCAAAATTTTGAAATATAATAAACCATATAATCAGTTGGTAGTTAGGTAATTTTAGTTAGAAATAGAGTTTACACTAATATTTAAAATTTTTGTTTAGAAATAGATTTAGAGAAAGGAAGTGAAATGGATAGGCCATATCGCATATGGCAGTGAAATTCATGATGCGATGCTCCATAATAAAGAACTATTTCATTTCTCCGTACATTGTGGAAGGAGGCGGAAAATCTTAGTTCTCAGAACTGACAACGCAAGAGGCATCTTATAGACATCACAATGTATTCTGTCGTAGTGTTATTCATATCTATAGGTATCAAATTAGAAAGTTATTCTAAATTCAAATGTTTATTTTTAATCATATTTAAATGAATGGAATTTAATAGACAAACGGACAATACCCTAAAATATTCTTTACCTTAATTTACGTGATCAAAGTCACGAGAAACAGCTCAAACAGCTATTTCCAAATATGTATGTAGAGTCCTATTAAAGCTAGTCAGTGAATTCATCATAACTCGATTAGTAATCAACAAAGAGGATGATTGTTATGAAATATAAATTATACAAACAATCCCACGGTTTTTTTGCTGAACGACACAAGCTTCAATAAATTTGCCAATCAGCTAATATGCAGGTGCTATATTGAAACCTAAGATTGAATGCTTATAAAGACATAAAACTGTAAATATTGTTGCATAATCGTTTATTTCATTCACACGTGTATATTTTCATATAGATGTTCTATTTTAAGAACGATGATCAAACAATAAAATCATTTAAAGCAGTTATCATAAAATTTTATCTTGAAACTCCTGTTTAATTTATTCAATTGTACATTATTATTTATGTATTATTATTATTCATAATGTAGGTGTATA